TTTTTAAAGACTAATCACTGACAATAAGAAGAGTTTAAAATAGAACTTTAGGCTTCCAGATTTTAATGGTCCTAGCAAAACTCCATTGTTAACTCAGAAGCAGCTGCATATGTCTAAAAAAATCACTTTGAGATTTGGCAGGGTTTCTTAAGAAACTTGAGGCTCAGCAAAAAGTTAAATAAATTATCCTTGAAAATTTACCAAATGCTCAGGAACTCACTTCAAAGGGAATTCTGTCCATTCAGTTAATTGTGTAACACCAGCTTTCCAATAGCACATTTATGAAATTGACATCTTAAATAATCTATGAATGCACAAAGCTGGAGCTACCTGTCACCAGTCACCAGACAGCTCAGTCAGAGGCCTGATTGCCTTTCCTCTTCTTTCAAGTGAATGCCTGGAACAGCATGATATTCAGCCCCTGAGAGCATCCTGGACCCAGGAGTTCCGAACCTGGGCTTCACATTAGAATCCCCAGGGAACTTGAATGAAAAAGAACCACCCCTGGCTCCCACCCCAAAATGAATCAAGAGTCTTAAAGGGTGGAGTATGGCATCAAGAAGTGTCCAAGCTCCCCAGGTGATCATAACGTACAGCCAGTGTTGGGCATCGCAGATGCAGGCAGTGACATTTAGCAGACCAGAGAGAAAAGATAATGTGAGCGCATCTCCAAGTACTTGATTTGACATCTGTTCTCTGACAGCAAGCAACCGTCAAACTAGAAATGGACTTCAAGAGCCAGAAAGCTGTGCTGCCCTATCTCGAAAGTGACCTAGTTAACAGATGTGTTTTCCATCAATACTTCAGAACCTGATAGTTTCTGAACAGAAAAGTACAGGGCAATGGTCCTAAGGGGGAGGCCCCACCCTGAGGCTGGTTACAGGTCTAGCAGAACCTTCAAAAATATTCTGTTTAGGAAAGTCAAATACTGCATGTTCTCACTGATAAGCAGAAGCTAAATAATGTGTACACATGGACATAGGGTGTAGATGGAATAATAGGCATTGGAGACACAGAAGGGTGGGAGGGTGGAAGAGGGCTGAGGGATGAGAAATTACTTACTGGGTACAATGTACACTATTTGAGTGATGGTTACACTAAAAGCCCAGACTTCACCGCTATGTAATATATCCATGTCACAGAACGGTATTTGTACCCCCTAAATTTATACCCCCAAAATTCTGTTGAGGTCAAGTTTTACTGGTGTCTGGTGAAAACAGCAACAGCACATACTACAACTATGACATCTCCTACCAGTCACAGAACATTCAATTGTCACAACAGCCCCATGGGGAGATATATCTTTATCCCCTTCTTGCAGACAAGGGAAGTGGGGGCCCAGAGAGGTTGAGTAATTTGCCTAACACTAAAGTCCAAATTCCAAGTCACAAAACTCCATTACAGCCACATCCGGAGAAGGGGCATGAAGACGCCCTCCAGCCCAAGCCTTTGCCTCCCGTGAGCTCACAGACATCTGCTGTTGTTAGTGACGTCCTACGCCCACCTCTGCTCATCTAGGCTGAGCCTCAGCTATCAGGAAGTGTTTCTTCTCACACTGTCACTTCGATCCTCAAGGTCTTGGAGGAAACTGCTCAACTCACATCCAGGACCCAGCTGAAAAGGGCTATCAGTTGAATTAGCATCCTCAGTCATTATGGACAAAGTCAGGAGCCCAGGCCCTGCACCATCCTCCTCCCAAGAGGTAACAGAGGAGCAGGGTTGGAGTGGAAGGCATGTGGGGTGATCTCACACCCCCAGGGAGGATGCAAACACCATAACACTGGCAACACCCACACTTCTACTGCCTGCTAATCAGATGCACAGAGACAGCCCCAGACCTGGCATGTGCATGTGGTGAATCCAGGGTTCTTTATTTGGTGAGGAGGACCATGTGGGCCTCACTGAAACCCTCTCTTCACGTGGTTTTCTGGCTGTGACAGGAAGAAAATGGCTGGCAGCCACAGGAGGCCCCAGGGAAACCTCAACAGTGCTGTCTTCTCCAGAGGGTCTGAGCCACTGAGGTCTGTGATCAGAGAGGTTCTCTCCTCAGAGGAGGAGACTTGGGGCTCTCAAGTCAGTTAAATCCCATTATGGCCTCCACAGCCTAAGATTTCTGTCTTTATTTAAAACCCCCATCATCAAGGCTCTGGAAATCTGATGCCTTGGGAAGCACTGTGAGCCTCACTCCACAGGAAACCCCAGCACCTGGCAAAATGAGCTCCATAAAGAACAAGGGTGCATCACAGAAACGTTTGCTATTCTGGATCAAACGTCAAGCTAGTTAATCATTTTGAGTCACACATCATGGTGCATAGCAGAAATAATACTGCTGATGTTCCAAAGACACACTGCAGCTTTCTGGGCTTGGGAGCCCCAGTGAGAGTGAATTCTGAAGATCTACAAGGCTTTTAAGCGGGTTTTGTTTCTTTCCTAGATTATTTTACTGAGCAATGCATTTAACGGCCCCTGAATATCTGTCACTTTGCACACCTTGTTCGTGCCACTTCCCCAGCTTGAAAAAGCCCCCATCCCCACCCTCTGCCGCCCAGGGCTGCTCCTTCCACGGAGCCCTCCTCACCTCGTCCCGGCCCATCCACTCCCACCAGCCAGAATCACTGCGCCCCCCCGGGCTCACACAGCACAGTGCTGGGCCTTAACAATGGGATCAGCTTCTCACACTAAGCCACCCCTTCTCCATCTTCCCCTCCTGGCAAGTTCTCTGAAAGGCAGAGTCATTGATTTCTGTCATTGTCAGGTTCTTTACAGTGGCAGGTCATAGGAAATGCTGGGCTGAGATAAAATGGCTAACCCTCAAGATATCACCTTAAATCCAATGAAAACCCTTAATCCTCAGATCATAGGCCCAATAAACAACTCTACCATGACTGATGTTAGCAACACTAGAACACCAATCCTTGTCTATTTCTAGAGGAGGAGAAATAAACAGAGGAAAGGCCACTGGCCTGTAAGAAGGCCTCACTCAGCTCCCTGGGGGACACAGCTAAACTAGCAAAGACAGATACTCTGCCGAGAAAAAAGGGGCCATACCTCCTCTCATTTACAAATACCATGTTGGGTTGAGGAGAGGTGAGGCAGGTCAGCATCCAAGTTACAGTTCGCAGGTGAAGGGGAAAGAGCTGTGCAGGCATCGCCAAGCTGCACCTACGTGGCCTGTTGCCAGCAATACTGCAGGTACAGAAGCTCCACGGAGGCCATGGAGTTCAGGACAGCTCCACTGCCAAGGGGAGAGCTGTGCAGAGGACAGGTAGGCACTCTTACATCTAATCACTTCACAGGCACATCGCTGAGTCTGAGACTCAAATGAATGTCTATTTATCAACTCTGAACTTGCGTTCAGCAAACAGTGAGCTCTAGAAACCCTCCCTCAGTCTTCTGATCCTCAGGTGCTGAAGCCCCGGCCCCTTCCTGAGTTTGGCAAGATGCAGGGAGGGAGAGAAGAGAGGCCTGACCCTGCCCACTCCCAGTCAGCACACAGGTTTGCACCAGCCGGGGCATCTGAGATCATGGAATACACTGCCTCTACATGAAGGCACAGAACCCAGGCTTGAAGAAAGGTAAGGGCCCTCTCAGACAAGAAGCCCCTCTGTCAGGGGTCTCTCAGCCCCTACTTCCACACTCCACAACCTCCAGAAGAGGCACAATTGCACCTCACCCACCCTTCCTATGGCAGCTCACCCCGACCTTCATACCCTCTGCGCTCCGGCCGAAGGGACCACTGCTCCCCCCCGAAATCCGCCCTTTGCCCACCTCCATGCCTCCCTCACGCTAGTCCCCTGGGTCAGGAAGCTTCTTCTCACACTGAACGGTCACACCTGCGATCCATCCATCCTTCAGGGCCCAGGCCAAATACGTCCCCCAGCCCTGTCCTCGATCCCTCCTCGGCTCCCGCAGCACACACCTGCCCTCTATGTGTGCCCTGCAGCTCCGCTCCCCAGGGCTGCATTTAGTGTGAGCAGCCCTGTCTCTCCCTAGGAGGCAGCACTCCACATCCTCTCCAGCTCCGGGTTTCCCCTGTACCCAGCAACAGGCCTTGCTGAGAGCAAAACATGCAAGGCACCCTGCTCAAGCAGGGACTTGCTCGGCCATCTTCTACAATGTAGGGCCAGCCTCGGGTCCCCAGGCCTCTCAATGGACATGTGCCCTTGAAGTACGTTCTCGGTCCTTCCTATCCAACTCTTCCAGATCTGTGGCAAGTCACAGACATCTCAGTCAAATGCACTGCTGGATTCCAGTTTCCACTCTGACCCAAGGCACAGAGGTCCCCAGAAAGAATAAGAGCACATCTGTGGGAAAAGTACGCAGTGAAAGAGACACTGTGGTTGACAATGGCAATTAATGTCAGTGACTGACTGAGTTCTCAGGCCTTGCCTCCTGCAGAAAGTGCTCTAGGGTGCTTAGTGTCACAGTGTGGGGTGTCAGTGGTTGGGCTGCAAAGCAGCTGTCACTGACTCACATGCCCCTTAACACCTGCCTAGACCAGTGAGCCGGTTTCCTCCCAGTCCCTGATGGGCTAAGCATATGGCTTCATATGAATAGCACATGTAGGAGCCATGTCAGGTGGCCTAAGAGTAGGAGTCAGGAGGAACCCTGCACTTCAAATTCTTGTCCAATAACACTGTTCACTTTGAGGTGAGGGAAACCACAGCTTCCTCTCCTGTGGTGCAAGAATACATGTCTCATCACCCCTGCACCCACTCAGAAATGCGCTTACTGAATTTCCCAGGCCAATGGTGGGTCCATCGGATCCTCCTTGGCCCACCTTACCAAATACAACTCTAACCCCCAAACCTCAGGCAGAAATCCAGAGTCAGCGCCAATGCGCCTGTTCTCTCCATGATGTGTGCAGGCAGAAGGGACCAGATGGCTGGGAGGAGGCCGTCCCACTCGCAGCCTGGGTCAGAGTCAAGGAAGGCCTGCTGCCAGGCGTCTGAACTGCACACTGGGTCTGTCTAGCCATGGGCAGGAAAGGCGCTACATACTATTTCGTTTGCCTTCCTCTCCTCCTTCTTCCTCGTTCTCGGGATCGATGTCCTCAGCTTGGGTGATCCAATCCAAGTAGCCCTTTAGATCCTCCTCCAGCTGCTGCTTCTCCCGGAGCTTCTGGAAATCTCCCCGTGCTTTTGCCTTCTCTCTTTCCTTTGAGAATTCTCTGAAGGAGGCAAAGAGGACAAGCACATATCAGGACATCCTTGGGGACCTGCATCCTGAGCCACTGCCCTGCTGCACAACAGTCTTGTGGCAGGACACACAGCACTGAGTACAGTCACATGAGCACAGCTATGGAGCCACACACTTGGACAGGACAGAAGACAGTGTCTTCTCAAGCAAGACCGTGGGGGTCAGCGTCGCAGAGCCCACACCAACACACATGCATCATTTCTTAGAAAATGAACTCCCCTCAGATGACAGCGATCCCAAGGGGCCTGGGCCCAAAACACCATGTGCTGTCATAGTGGGCCTCTGACACCCCCCAACGAGGGACCTGAACTCAGAGATGCCCCACCTTCCCCAGAGCCTCCTCAAAGAGGAGGGAGCCAAGTAGGCCAAGCTGTGGTCAAAGAGTACCACGTTTAGGGCTTCTTCAATGCTTTTGGACAAACTTTGCATTAATATTGTGTCCTACCCCTTTTGTCCAAACCAAGAGCTGTGAGCGGGCAGCAGTCCTTGCTGGTGCCCACACTAGGCTCCTCTACCCATCATCTGCAGGTTTGGGCCAGAGCAGTGGATGGAGTCAGGGCAGTCCCCCACCCCCGCCCCACAACCCAGTTCTCCCTTCCCAGATGGGAACTTGAGCACTGATGAAGCATTACTGTTTTTCTTCACCTTTGCTACTTGTCATAGTCTTCCCCAAAAGTCTTCCCTGCAGGAGGGGAAGAGGCATATGATTTGCTGCCCATTTATAGGAACACCTGCCCTGGAAAGGCTCTGGCAGACAGGTAAATGTTCCCAACTGTGGGGTGTTTACGCTACTTTCCACCATGTGTGCAAGCCTCTATCTATGCATATACACAAAACCCCACACTCACTCAGGCAAGCCTGAGAGTCAGGCAGACGATTACCCAATTTTTATATGCAAGGAACCATCTGCATCTCCAACCGTGAGTTGTTACAGGAGCCAAGATATGTGAGTTAGAGATTTAGTAAGTACACTGAAAAGCTGCTAAGGAAGCAGGTGAGGTTACAGCAATGCAGTTTCTGCACACAGACCTTGAGATTCCGACACAGGTTACTTCTGTCTGCCTTCTTGCCTTCGTTCCGAGTCAAAGCCAGCGTGTCTTGTTCAGGGTCCTACCTCAATAACCCAACCCAACCTAACCCAACCAGCGAAAGGGGAAGTGACCTGCTTTCATAAAGCTAACTCCAGCCAGGCACGGTGGCTCACGCCTGTAATCCCAGCACTTTGGGAAGCCAAGGTGGGCGGATCATGAGGTCATGAGTTCAAGACCAGCCTGGCCAACATGGGAAAACCCTGTCTCTATTAAAATATAAAAATTAGCTGGGCATGGTGGTACACGCCTGTAATCCCAGCTGCTTGGGAGGCTAAGGCAGAAGAATTGCTTGAACCTGGGAGGCAGAGGTTGCAGTGAGCCAAGTTCATGCCACTGAATTCCAGCCTGGGCAACAGAGCAAGACTCCATCTCCAAAAAACAACAACAACAAACTAACCCCATATTCACACCTCTCCCTTAACTCTAGGCTGTCGAGGGGCTGAACAGATGCTTGCACACCCAGTGACGTTAATACTTCAGATAAGAAACTGGAATCCTCACCAAGTGCCACCCTCTGCCCACAATTAGAAAGAATCCCACTCAGGTGGAGGTTCTGGTGAGCTGAGATTGTGCCATTGTACTCCAGCCTGGGCGAGAGAGAGAGAGAGAGAGAGAGAGAGAGAGAGAGAAAGAGAGAGAGAGAGAGAGAAAGAAAGAGAGAAAGAAAGGAAGAGAGAAAGAAAGAAAAAGAAAAAAATAGGATCCCTCTCACTGATCCTGAATCACCCCACTTTTCAGACTCCCTGGAACCTATCCTTGGTCCTGTTAGGGCTGTCTGTCTCCACTCTACCCGCTGTGAATAAGGAAGGAGGCCAGGCTTTGTGGATCTAGAGGTGAGCAGGAGCCGATCTGAGCCCAGACATGTGCTCTGACCTCCCAGCCCAAAGAATACCTGTTGTCTCAAAGAAGTAAGGACTCCAGTGTCTCGCTGTTCACACATACCACAGCCTGAGAACCATCTGGGGTTTCTAGGCCTCCAGGGATCCCTGACACATGGGAAATGCGGAACTCAGCTCTAGGTAAATTCACCAAATGACTCTCTGAACTCTGAAAAAGTCACGCTCAATCCAGAATCACATCCCTGAGCATCAATAAGAGGGCTTGGAATGTCATGTGTCTTCAGGAAAATGAATTATATAAACTGTTTTCTTAAATACACCTCAAAGAAAAGTGGACCTTCGGTTTTATTATTCACCAAAAAAGTATCCTAGTACAAATCTGTTTGCATGTTTTGATTCTGAACTTAGCATACTAAATTGAGATGGTTACATACAAACAAGGTATTCTTACTTTGGGTCCATATCATATATGGGTTCTTGGGAAAAAATTATGAAGACAATAAAAGAGTTACCCTGAGAAGCTTAAGGACATTCATTTTATAATGTATATAATTACATACATTATATACATTTTATATACATTTTATAATGTATATAATTATACATTATAAAATGAATGTCCTTAAGCTTCTCAGGGTAACTCTTTTACATCTTTGTAATTTTCTTTTGTAATATTTTATGCATTTTTAACATTACAAATATAAAAATCCCATTTCTAACAAGTTGCATCATTGTTGCACATTTTCAGCTGCTGGGACACGGTTAAGCAGGCATAAGTAAAACTCTACTCTGATTAAAATTCCTAAGAGTAAAAACCCTGCCAAGTCCTGGTTTATGGCCCACTCACAATGATGGTCACTGTCACAAGAGCTCATATAACAAAGCTGCTGATATAGACCCTCTGAACTGATTTCAGACAGTTCTGAATGGCTGAATACTTAGCAGAAGGTAATAATTATTGATGTGGACAGAGGTGAGGTTTATGCAGCAGAAATCTGTTGGCCACAGGGCAGTTTGGAGGAAGGGGGCAGGGAGGTGGAGTCCCTGTGATAAACACAGATAAAGCCTTGGCCCTCCTACACCACTCTAGGCTCTTCATCTGAAGATTTGGCTTCTAGTCCTAGCTCTGTCACTGTTGTGTTCTGAGCTTCAGTTTCCTCACTTCCAAACAGACACAACAATACCCGTTCTGCTGTTTCACAGGAATTAAGCAAGACATTCAGTAAGATGAGGCTTTGAAAACACAAAGAGTGGTATCAACGTGAAGTTCAAATGTATAATAGTTGTTGAATCCAGACATAAGAGAGAAATTTAAAAGGCAAATGGAAGAGCTTTCTCAAATATCAAAGGGAGAAAAATTAGCACTAGCTGTGAATGGGCTCTAAGCTGCCACAAACCCGTCAGGATTGGGAAACACACAGGACACATGGGTCCCAAGGCTCAGAGTGACCACAATGAGCCGGCAAACCCACTGCCAATCCTCTACACTATCTGCTCAGCTGAGAATAACCCATTCCCATCACAACCGACCCTCTGATCCTGAAAATCACACCTCAAGTCCGAGGCACCTTCTATGAAACTTTGCAATGATGGAAAAAAGTCACTCCACTTTGCAAAAGAATTCTTCATATTCTAAGAACCCTATCACTAACAGATTGTTTTACAAAGTTTATTTAATAAAGCTATTGGTAGAAACCAACAGACTTTTGCAAGTAACTAAAAATCCAACAACTGTTATATGCTAGGAGCCTTCTTGTTCCAAATCAGAATTTTGGTTATGGCATGTCTGATCAAAAGATAAATAAGAAGTGCCTGGACCGAAAAAAAAAAAAATATATATATATATATATATATATATATATATATATATATATATAGTGTGCTATCCTTTCATAAAAAAAAACTGGAAAATCAAATATGCATATTTCTCTTGGATGTATCTAAAAGAGCAGAAAACAAGGGATGGGAATGAATTAGGCCAAAGGAATCAAGGTTGGAGTGACACTCTTAAGAATATCTTTTTCTATAGTTTTGACTTTGGGAACCATGTTAATGTTCTTCACCTTAAATTTTTTAAAATTAAGTCAATAAGGACAAGATGAAGGGGAAATACCCTTAACTGAAAGTGAATTGAAACAAACAAATCTGTAATTCAATGAATACCATAACCAGACTGAAGGAGAAAGACAAAACTAATTCAAATAGCTCAGGAATATTTGATGATATGCTCCCAGTCTTCGGCAGGATTGGAGTGAGGGATGAACTGCAAACAAACGCTGAACTCCTTTTAGTAGCTTTGTTTTTTGTAGTGATGTGGATGAGACCATTCTGAAACTATCTTAGACATATTACAGGATTTAGCGAGTGAGTACATGTGCTAATGTTGCTGGGAGTCAGAGTTCTCGCTGTGGAAGGAGGGACACAGAAACATGGAACAGAGAAGAACCCTCTGGGGACCGACTGGAATTGAAGGTATAGGTGTGAACTGATGATTTCTAAAAGTTGTTTATTTTAAAGTCTGATTTCCAACGTCTGATTTTTAAAAGAGGTTGATATGTGAGTATATGTATCAATGTAAGTATGTGTACGAATGTGTGTAAAGAAATGCACATATTTCCTAGTTCTGTCTGTTGAAAGGATTTAGAAGCAAAGATGCTCTGGCAGGTACAAGCACACCTGGTACCCACATCTTGGTCTTTAATAACATTCCCCATTAAAAGGAACCAGGGGACTTTGGAGAAGTGGGTGATTCCAGGGCAAGGGTAGGGTAGGTACAAGATGAAGAAAATCAGGAAGTGCTCAAAAACAAAAACAAACCAAAACACATTATGGAGATATATCATAAGGATACAGGAGCTAGAGAAGTAGCTCCTACTAGCCAAATCTTAGGAAATCTGAGCACTGAAATAACTAAGGACAGTAATAAATTATAACATTTTTAAAAAATCAGTCCACATGCCTTATGGATAGACAACAAATGAAAAAGTAAATGAGGTAAAATTTAATATTAGGTAAACTGGAGAAAGGGGTACATGGATTAT